CAGCACTGCACTTTTTTTTTGAGACAGGTTCACTCATGCAATTTAGACTGACCTTGAACCATGTAGCCCAGGTACGCCTTGAACTCATGGCAATCCTCCTGCCTCAGCCTCCCAAGTGCTGGGATTACAGGTGTGCAGCACCACAGCAGAGCGGCACTTCGCCAATTCATGATTTACATCTGATCAAGGGAAAGAATCCTAGCAATATCTTTTTTTTTTTTTGTCTTTTTGAGATAGGGTCTTGCTATGCAGTTCAGGCTAGCCTTGAGCTCACTTTGTGGCTCAGGCTGGTCTTGAACTTGCAATGATCCGCCCCAGCCTCCCGAGTGCTGGGATTACAGGCGTGCACCATCACGCCCAGCCCCTAGGCAATATCATATTCCTTTGGTAAATGAAGAACAACTACTAAAATGACTGTACCTCTCCTTGAATCAAGTACTTAATCTTTTTATTTCAAAAGAAGCAAGGACACCAAGAAGCAGAATGAAGTAGCTAAGATCAGCAAAGCTGCCAAGCAGAAAGATGGACTGGATTTCAGTGAAAGTTGTTCAGTGCAAACTCAGTGTTCTGCAGCTGCACACCTACATCACACTGAGCCCACCAGTGACGGGGTCAGCCCGATGAGAGCGGGTTACACGCCCAGACGTCAGGTACGCGAGGCTCACTCAGAGCTGCGGGAAGCCCTGCGCTGGGAATAGGCACAGCTGCTCTGGCAACTCCCCCTTGGCTGGCTCCCAATGGTGCCTGCTTCTCATTCACTTGTACTTGAAACACGGTTTGAAGCTTCAGTGCCAGCTCGTCCTACTCTGCCAACTACCTTGGCTTCACATCTGGCCCTTTGCCACTTGCCGTCTTCCAAGCAGATGTCAGTTTCAATGGTGCCTCCTGTGAGCTCCTGCTTTATTTACAGTATGTTGATTTAGCCCAAGTTTTGACCAGTTTCCTTGCTTCTGAATTCAGCAGGGCCTATGATTCACAAATTCCCTGAGATAAGCTATGTGTTGGGCACCTGTTATGATTTCTAATTATCAATAAACACAGCTTTGTGCACATTCTATGTCAACTGCTACTATGTGACTCCAGTGTGCCCTGTGGACAGAGGGCCACCCCAGTGCACAGGGCTGTAATACTTATCACCTTTAGCTGAGAAAACAGCCCTGCTCAATCTTTCAAGGATATGCATGTGGATTTCTAACTTTACAGTTGGAACAAAGCAGGATTACATGAGATTCTACATCCAAAGTATGTGACAGGTCACAGGCCCCATCATTTGGACCATTAGAAATGTCCCCTTTAAGTTTTATGTAGTGTTACTCTAGAGCATGTTTTTGGCCTATTAACTTAGTATGTGTAAAGATAGAAATATAACGAACTTTTCCTAACTATGTATGTGGTTCTTCAGCCAGAAAGGGTCATCACTGACTCCCTCAGCCCTCAGAAAATAAAAACACCAACCAAGCTTTCCTCCCATTCATTTCTGTGCTCACCCTGATCCCAGAAGGGATCTATGAAAAAGTTAATAATATACTGTAATATACTACACTAAGTATATTAGAAAAACATTACCAACTACAGAGATCTCAAGAATTTTCTTTCCTGCTCATTCTCATTAGAAATATTTGATTTACCCTTCAAAAGAAAAACACGTCACAAAAAGCGTGTCTTCCTGCTAAAAAAAAGCCCAAACACATACACTTTCAAGAACCAAACTAAGGTGGTCAGCAGAATAGGACCCAGCTTACCAGGCTCCCATTCCGGTCTCAGCCTTGTCCAGCCATCGTCTGAGAAGGAACTGCTGGCCTAGCACAAGGACAGAGGAACCACATTTGCAGACAAGGGCAGCAGCAGCACCGTCCCTTGCTCCTCTGAGGATGACAGGAGAGCAAAAACAGGGAAGGCTTAGAGACCCAATGCTGCTGAGCTACACTACCCAGAAGGGACCTCACGGGGCTGAGAAGGAAGCCGCGCCCCAACCTGAGCCCGACGACCTTCTGTCCTTGACACTTCCGGACTGCAGTGGTCTCATGTGACCCTACTGCTCCGAGACTGGTCTTGTGCCCCACACAGTCACCACCATTGAGCTGTCACATCCTTCACCGAGGCTGCACACACTCCAGCCTCAACATCATCCCCCGCCGGCTGGGACCTGCTCGAACTCACACCCAGTACAGGGAGGCAGGGTCAGCCCAGCACAGGGCCGTCATGTTCTGCCGTGCATGCCAGCAACACAACAGCCCCGGTAAGCACAGGGCTCAGCCAGGGAGTAGGAATGAGATCTGAAGCTGGTTTCTCACCTAAAACAGTGAAAACTGGTTTTTAGAAAGTGACTTATACTTGATTCCCAGTAACAAAAAAAGAAAAAAAAAGTGCCTTACATTAAAAAGGTGTGTGTGAGGGGGCAGGCTCAGAGGTTCTACAGATGCAAACGCAGAATATGGAACGCCAGACGTAGTAAGGGAACATGTTTTTAAAAGACTTCTGTAGTGTATTTATTTCACTGGTTACAACAGAATTTAAAATATTTTGTGGTGCTGGGCTCAAACATAGGGCCTTGTGCTACATTACTAGCCCTAGAGTATATTTTAAGTGTAAGGCAAGAACCTACTTTGTTTCTGTCCCCTTGAAGGGAAACTTTTGGATTGTACAGAGAATTAAACATCCCTCAATACAAACACCTATCAATGTAAATTTCCTTCTGGTTGCTATTTCTTGTGCAATCTAAGTGCATGTCCACCAGTATATTCTAACACTTCTTGGAAGAACCTACCCATAACTTTATTCACTACCTTACATTAGTCTCTCTCTCTCACACATGCCTTTTAGAATATAGAAAATCTGCTAACAAAGCCTTTCTGAGACTCAAACCAGGTGAAACAGACTTACAACAGGATAAGCTGTTAGAACGCCACTTATATGAACTTGCTGTGGGACAGATGCAGGCCAGCAAACAGCTAATGAAATATATGGTTTTCTAGTATTTTGCATTAAAATGAAAAGCTGTCTTCTCTCAGAACTTAATTTTGGTGAGAAAAGCTGGGTTTAGTAACTGGTTCCTGGGCACACCTGCAAGTCTGCACCCTTAAACCCAGGCATGCAGAGGGTACTCTGGGCACTCTGAGCTCAGCAGCTCAACAGGCAGGGCCTGCAGGGGTTCTGTGAATAGTCTTCCCGTTCCAGCATGGTGAGCTCAACAGAGAACATCTGTAACCAAGGAAGGGCTTTTCCCTTTCTGTGATCTTCACACACAGCACTCCTTCTGATTTCCAGAGAAAAATCAATAAATTAGCAAATTCTTGTAAATTTAAGCCATCATGACCAAATCACTCCTACAGTTACTTTTTAAAAAAATCCTAGAAATTATTTATTCTTAGCAGTTTTCATATCTACCTCCTTTGCAAATGTGTTTTTCCTTCTCCACTGACTTGACCTTTACACCCCACTAGTGCCTATCTGTGAAGAACAGAATGACTGCAACCCGCATGTATTCGTGCTGTGGATGCAGCATACCTGCATCAGAGCTCAGCAACACTGGGCTCAGTGGTGCATTTTCTTGAGGTCGCTCACTTTCCAGACAGGCTCACACTCAAGGAAAACTCACTCTTACACATAAGTACTCTCTACTATGTCTTTATGCAGTCAGAGGTGCCCACAACAGTTTTGTTGACTGTCACGGAGATTCCTTATCAATGCCTCAAATTTTGACTTCAAAAGCATCTGATACATGGCTTTCAGTAAAAAGGTCAAAAGTATTAATTATCAGTGGTTTCTTCTCATTTTCTTATGAGTTTTAGGGAGGTATACAGATACTAATTCACCTTTCTACTAAAAACATAAAAAACACTGCGAGGAGCATGCTTAAAGTAAAAGTGAATGCTATTTAGGAGCGAGGATTTTACTACAGCTAAAAGGATTCAGGAGCTCCTACAGCATTCCTCATACTTTGCTTTATCTAGTGTCATTTTTTTATGCATACAATGAACAGGGTTTAAGGAGGAACGGGGCTACAAAGTATGATGGTTACATAAAGAAAAAGAGCTCACACCTTTTTAATGGTCCGTCATTCTCCAGTGGCACTGAAAGTATACATACAACTTAAAGACATAAAATTCGCAGCTAGGAAAATTTAAAAGGTTAGCATCTGTTGCTTTTTATTTTTTAGTACTGAAGACCGAATCCAGGGCCTCAAGCACGTTAGGCAAGCACCCTGCCACAGCTATATACTTCAGCCTGCATAATCCTTTTTAGTTTGTAACAAACGTTCTGACCAATATGTGAAGAGAAGCGCAAACCTAAGCAGGAGAGAGAAAAATCACTTGGTATTTTAAAAACCATATGTTCCACAATATCTGCAAATGTGAGTAACTGGGTAGGAACAGTCCATGCAAGTGGAGAAGGTAATGAAAGGGAAGAGAGGAAAGCTTAGGTCTGGTAAAAAACAAAGAAGTGGCGGCATTTCTAATGAAGACATTAGATTTTTAAAATGGAACTCTAAATTAATACTATATAATGAAGTACAGCTGCTCATTAGGTAGAACTGGTTTTAAGACCTCAGCATAATGTACAAACACTATATAGATTTTACATTTACAATTACTTGATAATACCCTTTACAAGTCCTTTACCTTGCAAACTATATGAAGAAAACTTAACTGCGTAAACAAAGTATCTGAAATGTTATAGAACAAATATGGTGTAAAATAAACATTCACACCTATCTTGAGTCTAAAAGACACTGTGTTAAGTTGTGCTGAGAGGTACAACAGGTAGGGAACTTCAGTTAGGGAACACCTTACAGTTACTTCAAACAAGCAGTAGATGTATTATTCCCTATGTGCCTTAATTAGTATTCTTAACTTTTACAAAATCTTTAAATAGTAATGTTGTATGTAAACTTTAAGTACAGAAGTCTTGGTTTAAGAGGGTTTTTTTTTCCTCTATGTACAATATGACTTATTTCAGAACAAGTTATTTCAGAAGATCATGTCAGTATCACAAACAAGCAACACGTACACACTGTAATTTTATTTCAATCTCACAAATGAAGTTAGCATGTAGGAAATTTAAATGAAACAGTAACAGTAAAAACAGCAGAGAACTGAAAAACCTACAAAGGAAAGTATACCTAAAGCATGAGAAGTCAACATTCATTAGTGTTTCATCTTCAGTTTTGATTGACATTTGATGCTTGCGAATTTTTAAACAAACTTTTAAATCATGATGACTATTCTGAAGAGATTTCAGCACCAGCACTAAGATTTATACATTCAGTTTGCAGCTGACTTGTTAGCCGTTTACAGAGTGTATAGTACAGATGTGTCACAGGTCAGATCACAGTGTTGAGGACAGCAGTACCTTCCTGTAACTAGACGGGATCCCCGAAACTGTACTCAGCTGAAGACATTCAACTACAACAGCACAAAGCCATCACAATAATGTAGTTCTAGGAACACAGTTTGACAGGAAAATAACTTAAGCATTTGTTTCTCATTTTCATTACTGAAATCTCTAATGACATCACTGTCATGTATGTCAGCAACATGGCAAGTGTGTAGAGTAATTTCAAACTTCCTGGAAGGAACACACTTAGTGTCTGGTAGAATGTAGAATGATGTACAATGTGTAGCATGACTCAACACGGGTTCTCTTTGTCATTTTACACAGATATCATGTTAATATCAGACCAAGGCACAAACGTTTAGTGCATAAACTGGCTTCTCTTAAGATTTAGCATTTTATTTTAGTTTTTTATCTCACTTTGGACCACTTGTACCCAGTACTCTACTTAGTGTAGACTACCTAATTTATCTAAGAAAACCTGGAGTGATTTCTCGCCAGATTTATAAAGAACATAAATGTTTATATTGTCAAAAGTGTCTACATAACCCCAAGTACAATAATAAAGATGAAAATGCCTCCCATTTCTTTTAGAGAACAGTAATTTATGAGCTTGCTGCATCCACAAAGCCTTTTCTACAACTGAATGACAGTGAGTACCTGATGGAAAGAGGAGCTGCACACTTGAGCTACGATACTTCACCCATCAGTTTTGCCTAACATGAAGTTCCTACAAAAACCAGTTATCTTAACACGGAAGAAAACCCTGACCCTGTCAAATAAACTTCTCTGTAGTGGAAATGACTGCACAGGTGCATCATTTAGAAAAGAATGCTATCAACAAGCTTTGTCTTAGGCCTGGGATTTATAAAATCTAGAAAGCAGATGAAAATGGATTATTTCACAAGAATTTTAGTAAAAGTTCCAATAATCAAAGATTTGAAAACAAATATGGCACATAACAACTCAAGCATAAATCAAGATGGAGAACTTGAAGAATTTCTGATTTCTTAAAATTTTCTAAAAAGCTATCATTGCAACATAAAGGACTTCTCCCCTATTTTAATCTTACCAGTTTCAGAGAAAACGGAGTGTATCACACACAGCACACATACTAGCGCTCACCCACCCACACAACACAGGGTGGGAACAGTATTTGACTCTTCCTTTCCACCTATGCCTGGCTTCATGTATCGAAACTGCAGGCTCCTCCTTGGTTTCCCTTTACCCAGCGATTTCTGTGACCTTAATTGCTGTCAACATTGTCATTTCTTGTATTTCAACATAAAATTCAAAAGCACTCTCATGCCAGACTATGTGTCTGAATACCTGTGTCACTGCCAGTGATGGTGACACCGGACTGAGTGTCACAGTAAGATACATTTCAGGTGAAGCTCAGATTCATGTTTCAAACTGTTGGAATTACTGGTTAAAATACAAATAGCTAAAGACATGATGTAGAAGATACATACTTGGTTTTAACATGTTTACCAATTAAAGTCACAAAATAGTCCTCATTACTATTCATGCAGGTAATTGAGAAAAAAGTGCAGAAATTAACTTCAAATAAAAAGTTATTCCTTCCCTTCCTCCCACTCCCCTATTCTCTACAAAATGTTTTCCCTGGGACTAGGCCTTAAAAAAGCCACTATATGTTAGTGTGACATGCATTACTGTCTGCAATTAAAAAAGCTAACTTTGTGGTGACTGTAATTACATTATAAAAATGCCCACATGCATAATCTAAAAAAGGTTGTAAACCTACAGTAAATCTACAATATACTGTTTTACATTTGACCACTGGTTTGTGTTATGTAGAAGTCATAGATTTGGTAAAGCATTGTAACAATTTAGGAAGGCATCTAAATCTTTAAATTCTGGATGAATTTTATGTTTTAAACTACAAAATTGCATGAAGGCTAACTCGATAGACTTCCTATCATTCTAAAATTCCTTAAGCTGGACCAATCATCTTTAGGACACTTTCTTATAAATGTCATTCTTTGAAAGCATATACAATCCTGTTTGTTCCACATTTTATGATCTTAACCTACACAGGCTGATCTCAATTATTCATGGAATATCAAATATGATAGGAAGACAGACCTGAGAGAAACATTTACAACAGCAGAACTTGCGAAATTCTTCATTACCATTCTCTGAAAAAGAACTCCATAAGCCTTTCTCTTTATTTTAGCAATGGGCTGTGTAAAATGTGCAGCTTTATCTCAACATGAAAATATTTCAATGCACGGTGTTCTTATCTGATGGACGGGCTTCGTATTTTCTGTGCAACTGTTGGAGGAACTCATCCACTGCTCTTCCATTCTTTTCAGTCAGGGAAAAGCAGCCAGTGGGGAGGGACAGCGACCACTGAATCACAGTGTCAGGCTTTCAGAGGATGTTGGCTGCTTCCTTCCAACTGCTTGTCTCTGTTTCCTTCTCACAGTCACAAAATCATATGGGTTGTTTTAGATGGTTACTGTTTGTAGGATTTTTTTTCCTCTCCAGATTAAAGTTCTCTCTTTCTCTCCTTTTGCTTTTCTATGCCATATTTGACTTGCTCAGTTCCTGCCTAATTGCTGGGAAGAAAAAGTATTGAAAATAAATAAAGTGATATACATTCATGATTTATGTGTAAGCAATCTTAAGGACTATGTTCAAATTCACAGTAATAAAGAGACATAGATTTTGCATCTTTCATTGTGCAGATCTGTTTTGATATTACAGTGATACCGATCCTTACATGTGTTTATAGTTGGTATTTTCTCCCTTTGCACACAGAAAGAGCACACTGGTTCTTGAGGGCTTAAGAACAAGGGGGCCTCCAGAGAGATGGATGAGTACAGGTGACTGAGATTGTTCCCATTTTTCCATCTAGTAACAGGCCACACTTGAATCCTAGGGACCCTGTTTATCCCTATCTCTACAAGCAATTTCCACTAATAAGGGAAACTTCCTCTCTGACCTCCTAAGGCAAACCAAGCGCAGAATAATGTAGAAAACTAATTGCCCTCAAGTAATAAAATGAGTATTTCCTATGTGCATTTTCTTAAAAATGACAATTCAAAAAGCAGTGTTTTAAAAGGGTAGCAAATTTGTTCACACACTTACCATCAATGAGCTCTTCCTTTAGTTTTGTCAATTCTTTTCTCATTTCATCTAAAATGTCCTAAAATATCAGAGAAAAATATCAGGAAACAAACAGTTTCTCAGTCAGATAAAATTTTAAGCTGGGCATGGTGGCACATGCTGTAATCTCAGCACTCAAGAGGCTGAGGCAGGAGGATTGCCACAAGTTTAAGCCCAGCCTGAGTTACACAGTGAGTTCAAGGTAAGCCTGAACTATATAGCGAGACCCTGTCTCAAAAAATAAAAAAAATTTAAGAATGCTGTAAAATACGATGAGCAGTATTGGGTTTCCAGGGTCCCAATTCTCCTTCTCAGAAGACTGGCTTGTTTTAATATTTTTCTCTTCCCAATCTTTGCTTATTGTAGCCTGGCGAGCTATGAAACAGACACTTTCTAAAACTATAGTAACTATTCTGCTGTCCAGTGCAAGGTATGCCGCAGAGTTTCTAGGAAAGGTAACAGCTCTGCTGTAAACCCTGTCCTCTGGCAGCAGCTGAGAGGTGATGGGGAGATAGTTCCAGGAGGCAAATGCTGCTGGACAGCTGGCTCTAGCAAATGTGCCCCTGATGGGGACCACTATGAAGTGGCTCTGAGCAGGATTTAAAATTAACTATTTAGCTTTCCATGTTTACATGTGAGTCTGTCCAGGGCCTAGGCCCCTTGTCTGGAGATAGGCAGCAGACTCGTAGTAAGTGAACCTCTATGAACTGGTCCCTGCTGTACTGGCCTGTCAAGCTGTGATACCTCCAACCCCAATTAATTGAAAGGAGACTACAGCTGCAGACTCCACATGCCTACAATAAATGTCAACCTGGAGATAAGACAGTCTCCCAGTACTTTACCACCTGAGGAAACCTTTGAACTGTCTCCCAAGATCTGCTCAGGTTCTTGTGTTTTCTTCAGTATCCCCCTCCTTTGTTGGAAAACCAAATTAATACAAATATGGACTGTAGAGAAGTTCTTTGCCTTAGCACATAGAGAATCTCAAATTCTATTAAAGGGTTTTGAACGTCCTGCAGCCCTAAAATTATACCACTTGACTCATTTCTTTAAGCCTTTGCCACACACTCTTTTGGGAGACTGTGGGCCTGATCAGTCTTCAATAACTAAGGGGTATTAACCCGCTATTCCCCTGGCTCAAGGTGTAGGGTTTCTTAGGAGCCACTGCTGCCACCAAACTATAGCTCAAAGAGCACAGGTTGCCCCACAGGGCCTCAGGGCTCCCAGGGGGCTGAGACAGATGTGGAGGGGTAGGAGCACCTGACAGCAGCTGCTTCAAAACAGGGTATGCTACACAGATTGCAAAGACAGCATAAAGAAAACACAAAATAACCCACTACAATTCCAAAACATTCGCTTTACATTGAAGTAATTTTATCGAAATTAATTTCTTCTCTTTAGTTTTTTAAAAATGTGACTACTACAAAAATTTAAGATACATCTGCGACCCATATTATATTTCTACTTAGTGATGCTCTGGACCTCCTTCAAGAAGGGTGGGTTCTGAGGAGACAGGGCCTTTACAAAGTGATCAGCTTCCTTTTTTCGTGGTGCTAAGGATGAACTCAGGTGTCTTATGCTTGCTAGATAAGTTCTTAGCTCAAGACATACAATTTTAAGGGTTAAAAAAATACAGCCACCTTTGGAAGGATTAGGTTTAAACTGTGTGCCTTTCTGTAACATTGTATAGCTTAATTAAGCTGCTGTGTGAAGGTGAAAAGAAAAAGCTATCAAATTGCAAATTCCTCCACTTATCAGGCAGGTGCTGTGCCGCTGAGCTAAATCCCCAGCCCCCTCCACTTATCAATGAAAACATTGAGGCATGTAAGTTATTACGTGAAGTAATCTTTCGGTTATTCCAAAAGCCAAATCTATTCCTCTTTCTACTTCCTGAGTTAAGGTAACAAAGAAGTTACCATAAATTCAAATGTGAGTTTTTGTTTTAAAGTGTTCTCAAGACTGAGTGTGGTGGTCCCAGCATTTGGGAGCCTGAGGCAGGAGGACTGATTTGAATTCGAGGCCACTCTGGGTGACATAGTGAGTTCAGGCCCAACCCGAACTGCATAGAGAGAAACTCTGTCTCACAAAGCAGGTGTTCGTGGGTTGGGGATGTAGCTCAGTGAAACAGCACTTGCCTGGCAAGTGTGAGGTACTGAGTTCGATTCCCAGCACCAACAAAAAAAAAAGCAAGTGTTCTCAAGAAAACCCATCATTAGTACATGTAAAACAAGAGTTAATTATCAATGACCACATGATCCCTTTATAAATTATATAACAATTTTTCAAATAGTTTTGCAATATAAAAATTAGATTTATCTAAAAAAATTATGTCAATACTTGTAGAAAAAGATTTTTTAAAAAATCTGTAACCTTATCAACTCTTCCTGAGTATTTATGTATAAAATATAATGCACATACAACCAAAATATGATCAGTATCTTTTTATTTTACGAAACTGAGACAACTTCATGCACTTGTTTCATTACCTGTTTCACTTATTTGGGCAAGTGTGCACAGGTCACTGTTAAAATACAGTATTATAATTTCTCAGTGGCTGCAGAACCTCTGCTCCTCACTGTATATTTGTATGCATTTACAATATTTTGTATACATTTATTTGCACAAGTTCCTTGAAGTGCAATCTCTGAAGCCAAAGGCTTTTGATCTGTATTCCTAAACTGTTTTTTGGAAGGCAGAAGTATATGAGGTGCCAATTCCCTCTCATTTGTGCCAAAATCAGATCTGTTGGGTCCATTTTACCACCGCAGTAAGGGAAAAGTGGAAGCTGCTGTCTCCCTACAAGGGCACACCTTGCTCTTGTAGACGCCACACTCGACCTCCCCACTGGACCTTGGTGTGAACTCACTGGGCAGAAATGAGGGTGTGAAAAGAGTAATATAGTACAAGTGTTCTGTACTGTTCAACTTGTGTAGAAATATTTTAACTGTGGTCTTTTATTTTTAAGTTCTGGGGACTGAACTCAGGGCCTTCTCACAGAGCTGCACCCCCACCCCTTTCTTACTTTGGGACGGAATCTTGCTAAATTGACAAGTCTCAAAGGCAAGGCTTGAACTTGTAATCCTCCTGCCTCACCTGGGATTACAGGTGTGTAACACCATGCATGGGTGACTCCATGGTCTTTTAAAGTACATTCAAGAGCCATGACCAACACATGCATGAGGCATTTTTAAAAGAGCAACATGTAAAATGCGGAGAAGCTGTACTGCACGCCTACCTGCTTCAGCCTGTCATAGTCGAGCCCTTCTGTCTGGACGCCATTGGCACTGGGCTGTGACGCAGGGGTGGATTTTGGTCTGTACAAATGAAATTGTAGGACAGGTAAACAACACTGATGATATATTTAATGAGTTCATACTTATAAATTTACCAACCCAACACCAGACTTAAATAATTTCTTAAATGAAACAAATTTTGTTAAAAAGTAAACTGCCACAGTTGTTAAGACTGACTGGAACAGAAAACAAAATATTTTTCACTTATCTCATTATTTTAAATTATTTATAAAGAAACTAGAAAAGGTGACAAGATGGTGAGACTTCTTCGGCTAAGAGTCAAAGACGGCATTCTTTGGGCCTGAGGCAGGTGACCAGGTAATGCGGCTTGTTGACCATACTGCAGTGGAGCGCCCAGCAGACCCTTCCAACACCCAAATAACACAACTTGTTTTTTCCCTCTTCTGAAATTTTACATTGTCTACCAAGTACCAGCAAATCAGAGGAAGGAAAGAATAAAGACCTAGATATTTTACCCTAACATAAATTAGTTTACAAATTTCTATGTATTGGAAGAAAACATTTTAGTAAGCATGATTTCTCTGTATGTATTTTATTCTATGCCAAACATTAAAATAAGAAAGAATGTTGAAAAACAATTATTAGGCAGAACTACACTAGTATCTAATTGGCTCTTTCCCTATGAAGGTTTCATGGAAACATAGTATGAACGGTATGCGTCAGGCTAACTGCTCCAGAAACTTGCTTTGTTTTAAAAAATAAACAGGACATGCAGATGCAGATGCAGATAGAAGGAGACTGTAAGTTATTATTACACTTCCAACAACTGAGCTTCTCTTAAAAATTTTATACAATGAAATGTCTTAGGGAGTAAGTTTTTGTTTAGAGACAGGGTCTTGCTCTGTAGCCCAGTCTGGCTTTGAAAGACATATCCTCTGGCTTCAGCCTCCCAAGTGATGGGGTAACAGCTGTGGGTCACCTGGGTCAAAGATTAGGTGTATTTCATGATTGTTTTGTTTGTTTCATTTTGAGACACTGTCTCTCTATGTAGTCCAGGCTGGCCTTGAATTCATTATATAGCCCAGGATGGTCTTGAACTCTCAGCAATCTTCCTGCCTCAGCCTCCCATGTGCTGGGACTACAGGCATGTGCCGCTACTCCTGGCTAGGGTTAGGCACATTTTAAACAAACATTTCAAACTAAATAAATTAGTAATGGCTTCCCTCCAATTCTGCAATAAAAGCAAATCCTCAATGGAAAACCTAGAGTTTTATTTGGGTTCTCCTCTATTTTCTGGTTTAGGATACTAAGTGGCTACTCTTTAAGGGCAACAAATCAATATAATTTTAAACTATTAATTAAATAGCAGATATAATACTGAGCTGATCTGCTTTAACAGTAAAACATCATTGTTTAAGATTATTAAGCAAGCCAACCAGTGTTATTTTGTTAGGTGTACGCGTGTATGAAAACTGAAGAAGTTATAAACTTTCAGAAATCATTGCTGTAGTGCTGAGTGGGGTGCTGGAGGCCAGGGGAGGTTTTTGCAGGAGCCTCCTCCTTACTGAGGAGCCCGCAAGCAGCTGCGGCCCAGTGTCTGGGGTGCAGGTCTGCAGCAGTTCTGCAGGTCTACCCTGTGCATCTCACATACTCATATCTCTATCCCTGTTTTCCAAAATTAAATTTGAATTACTTTCTTTTACTTCTCACATTTAAATGATGTAACTATTTTTTCCTATGCTAGATGATGAATACTTCTGAAATTCATGATACAATCACCTATAATCTGCTCCTTAACTGTGTAGTATGCACTGAATATATCTATATTTACTAAGCAATTAAAGACTGTGATGTATAATTAACAACTGTAGAGACATGCAAAATTTTAAAAATTTAATTCATGCTAACATGCAATCCATCATCACCACCACCACCACCACAAGAATTGATTCAAGGGGGGAACTTTTCATACTGAAGGAAAGAAGTAATCACCACTTTTTAAAAAGGAGGTTTTCAACATTACCCCAGGGATGCTAAGTGTGAAAGCAGGAAGATAATTGTGAAGATGTTGTTGTTAAATACTATTTTTCTCTATGTTCTACCAAGTTTTCTTAATAAATCTTTCATTCACAACAATTAATCTACTTCAAAGAAAGCAGTATTAACATTTTCACTAGTGCAATATTAACATTTTATGGAGACTTAACTGGCTAGCAAAAGAATAGCTAATCACTAGCATAAAAAAAACTTTTAACAAATTTGACCAGTCTGGTGACAGAACTCCTACTCAGTGGCACACATACCCCTCTATACACTTGTTTAATTCAAATGATCAGTAGACATGATGTGTATTTTACAAAATAGATGCATATGAGACCATAACTATATTTTAGTTATTTTTAAACTATGGGTTTTTAGCATAATTGGCAACAAAATATGTGTGTTTCTCAGAGGTTTTTACTCCTTTATGAAGTGAAGACTGCTTCTAGGTACCTGTCTATAAAACAACTGTGCTATACTGTTCAAGTTCCTATTTTGCCAAATTCTGTAAGTAGCTGAGCAGCACTCAGGGTTTTTTTGGTCTTTTTTTTAATTGAGAGAGGAAAAGATGGTTTATACTTCTTGGTAGGACGGGTGGTGCGCTAGGACAGAATCCAGGCCTTAAGCGTGCTGTGCACACACTCTGTCACAGAGCTGCACCTGAGCCCTGGACAACTGTCATCCTATTTCCTTAATTAAAAATGGTACAATGGGACTCATCCTAAAAAAAACCTAGTGAAGACGGACTGAGGTTGTTTAAGGTACTCAATAATACTACAATGTATCTAGGAAGCAGATTTTCTTCAAATAATACCCAAACTTGGCTAAGAGACTGTCTCCTGTTCCAGGAACAACCAGCACAGGATCTTCTATTGCACCTTTTAAAGGCTAAGGCTTTGTCTCAGAACCACGAAGAGAACAACCTTTAAAGGAAAATGCCAAAGCTACCAACAGCCCTAGACAATACACAGAGCCCTGCATTCCATCCTAGTATTCTGTGGTTTACTACATATATGGATCTTAATCCAACTATAAGGTGAGGGTAGGTTTTTGTTTTTATGTAAATGTTCAAGATAAAGCTAAAAATGACTCAACCTACATAACCAGCTCCCTCGTGGTGATTACCAGTCCAGGTAGAAAAGCTCAGCCCTGTCCTGAACATGTTATTAGAGTCTCAAACCACAAAGCCACAGCAGGGTGATACCTGTGTAATGAATCATAGGACCTGTTGTCAAAAACAATCTGATTTTTCCTTGAAGAATCCCGTCTATGAAGGGGAAAGACCATTTAAAGGGGTATACAATAGAACTTTAAAATTAATTCTCATGATGTTATTTACTGTTTCACAAGTTTCTAGTTATAGCAGACAAAACAAGAATTAAAGGATTTCATTATCCTTATAATAACCATTTCTCCAATAAAGAGAGGATATTTTGAAGCTAATTTTAGTTATGTAAATATACTTTTACTTGAAAGTTACAGAGAATTTTTAAAAAGTCATTATACAATGACTGACCCCTATAGGCTACAGGCACAGTAAAACTCACCAACAGTATCAAATACACATTTCTGTTACAGTGACTATGAGGCAACAGACTCAAAATTATTGTAGCCTGAAGTATACAAAATTATCCCCAGGCATGGGAAGAATATTTTTCTCCTATCAGGAATAGAGTATCTATAAGCTCTTAATAATTTTAGTCCCGATTCAGAGAATTTTTACAACTTTCTTGCTTTTCCTTTCCTGACATCCTCCCTATAATACAGCATAACGCAGTATCTTGTGGACGCCATAATTCTGAAATGGACGGTCTGCAAAGAAATGGTGCCAAGGCTACAGCAGGGCAAGACAAAGTGTGCCTAGTAAGAACAGAAGGCATCAATGTACTTGCTTCTCTTAAGAAACAGGGGAGATACTTAGGAAGAGTTGTTTAAATATGTTTTAAAAATCTTTTATGGTTTAAAACTGCCTCCCCCCCAATACATATGTATTAAAATTTACGGCATATACATTGGTGGTTGGATTAAACCTATCAAAAGATGTGCAAGTGGTCAGAAACAAGTGTTTCAGAAGTTCTAACTTGAGGGGGCTGGGGATTTAGCTCAGCGGCAAAGCGCCTGCCTGGCAAGCGCAAGGTCGTGAGTTCGGTTCCCGGTACCGGAGAAAAAACCAAAAAAAAAAAAGAAGTTCTAACTTGGGAAAGGTGAGGGAAACCATCTAACAGAGTTGGAACATGATTACAAGATTCAACAGATCTGTACGAAATTATTTTCAAAATGGTGACCATTAAAGCACTTATTCAACTTCCTTTAGAAGTCTGAAAAATCTTTCAAAGAACACGGTTCCTTTCCTAAATGAGACCAACAAATCACAGGACAAACTCCTTTGGGTGGACGCTCTCAGGTCTCTCCCTGCATCAGTGCAGCCCTAGCTTTAGGCAAGGCACTGTGGAGTTCCTCCCGATGAAGTCAGGATACAGGGCAGAAAGAACTTCCCTTTATTTGAACTCACACCCTCAAAGGGAAAAGGCACATCACAGTTCTGTTGTTGTACACAGTACTTGACAAATGAGGGTTCCTAATGTGCTACTCAAGAAAATCTGTAACTACAGAGGAGTGTCAGGAGGTCACTTCAGTTATGTGTCTGAGAAAAAGGAACAATTTTTGTGCTCTACTGAAAGGTCATGTCCACCAAAAACAAATCCCTTCATTTTCTTCTGATGTCATACATAATCATCCTATAGTCAGAAATTGAGAGCTTTATACATTCTACAAAGTCAGGCATGGTGGTGCATGCCTGTAGACCCAACACTCAGGAGGCTGAGGCAGGAGGATCGCCACAAGTTCAAGACCAGCCTGGATTACACAGTGAGTTTAAGGCCACTCTGAGCTACACAAGCCTGGCTTCTTTGTAGAACTTAATTGTCATCAAATCTTCTTTATTCTTTACAGAAAAAAAAAAACAAAACACACAGAAGCCAAATCCAAATGTGAACTTGGGCTAACACAGAAGAGGTCTGTGATCATATGAAGTCTATTTGTACTCTTTTTAAAAAATTAGGTTTCTATAGAGAGTCAAGTTTTCTTCTTATGAGGCAAACATAAGGTAAATATCTCAGAAAGAAAAGCCAGCAACCCCTAATAGACTTTAAATGCATACCATTTTCCCCCTTGGGAAAATACATGCCTTTTAAACTGTCCCATAAACCAGGAAAAGGTTCCACCTATGTCAAAGACCTGTGGCATAAACTCAGTTATGATGATGAAGTACACCTCACAGAGGACAGAGAACTTGTCTGACTGTGTCCATGTCCTAGCCTTGATTATGATTAGAAGTTTCAACTGAGAAAGAGCAAATTCCTACCTTGTAAATTCAAGGTTTTAAGCTTTATTTTGCTTTCTGAGATTACAGCCTTTTTCTCCAGCTGACTTTCAGTTTAAAATATGAAACTTCTGTCATTCAGACAAGTGAGGAAATATGACTATATACTGTTTAAATAATATCACTGTTCAATGCTAAATTCCTTGGGAGTTGTAATGCCATTCTGGTATGCCAGAGATGACCCCATTCTTTGAAAAAATGTTCTAATATTTAGAGTGAAGCAGCATTTTGTTTGAAAACTACTTTCAAATTATTCAGAAGGGAAAACGCTTTGATATATGGATGGTCAAGACACATGTGGCAAATGCTAACAACTGGGGAGCCCAGGGCGAGTGTTTCCTGTACTATTCTCTCAACTCTTCTCTAGTTTGCATTATTCCAAAATATTGGGAGGTATAAAGCTGCCCTAAAATTTCAGACAATCTGGCTAAACAAATGTAGGATGAGTTTACCAGATACAACTAGTAAAATACAATGGGCTCAGCAGTGACTGTCCAATAGTAGGCGGATTACAGGTATTCTGTAAGCTCATTTGTACAATTTATAATCTACAACTGGATATTTTCCTTTTTAGATACACATGTCATATAAAATTTAGGAAAAACATTGGTACCTGGAGATGACAGGGGACTTGCTGCCATTCACTGCATTTGTTCTTTCCCAAGGCTTTCTGGTTGGTTCTTCAAACACAGAGAACAAATGTATTAAGTGTCCCATATATTTCCAGAGGTGCCATAAAACAAACAACAAAATACTAGAGCCAGAGCAAAATACTGGTTTATATTGTGGTAACACAGATAAATAAAAAAACTGTGATTTAAATTTTGCACATTAAAGATTCTAATTTGTACATTTTCAGACCTTTAAGTGAGAAACTAATAAGCACATTACTGTTTCCTTTAAAAAGTCCTTGAGTCTTAATTGTGGGGACTTGCAGATAACGCAGTTAAATATAAATAAGCTCCCTCCAAGCTCTTACTACGAAGGACATGCAGCAACCCACTGGAGAGCCATCGACTGCTCATTTGAATTGTTTATGTATTTTGGGAGGCTTGGCTGATGTGTCACTGGCCTAAGTGGATGACTGGACTGGATGACATCAGAAGTGGAATCCTGTCCAGGAGGAAAACCTTTTGTGCCACATGAAGTTTAAGTGAGGTATGAGCTGTGATGTGATCTCACCAGTTTTTTTTTTTTTTTGAGGCAGGGCATCACTGTGTAGTTTAGGCTGGCCTTGAGTTCACTATGTTGCCCAGGCTGGCCTCAAACTTGCAGTGATTCTCCTGTCTCAGCCTCCCAAGTGCTGGGTCACCATATAGTTTTAACTAAGAAACTGCTCTGAGTATTGATGAAACCCCTTAATGGGCCTCTGCATGTTCAAAGGTATCTTTACAGTCTCCTTAAAATATACACATGCAGAACTAAATTCAAACTACTACTTGAAGCACCACCCTGTTTCTGCATTTCTGCTTCAAGTCAACATCCAGATACGAACCTTAAAGTTGCCACTGATCTTTCTTGACTCATCACTCACGGAATTCTTTCTTTTTTCATTAAATGTTTTTATTTACTCTTGTGTACTCTTAACAACTAATACATGCTCTCATTGACACCACAGTGGTGTGAAGTTCCAGAGTTGGCTGGGGACCACCAAATAATCACACCGTGCCCTGATGGGCGAAATCACAGACCCAACCACACATCATCCAGGCAGCTGAAGAGGGAAGTCCTGAATAAAATTAGGGATTACTGGGCAGACATGGGACCAGTCATCAGGACACTGTCACCAAAGAAGAGGCAAGTGGAAAGATGGGGAGTACTTCCAAAGTGGACCAGGTGTAGCAAGTGCTACCTAGTGGTGGCTGAGGTCCTTTGTCGATTAGACAAATGTGAATGCTGTTCATCTTTGAAGGGCAGAGGGCTGACCACCGTGCCTCAGGAGGAAGAGCAGAGCAGACTGCTCTATGGGGCCCAGGAATGAGGCCATTCTGGGCAAAAGTGCGTACCTTAGGAGGAAAGGCTGTGGCTGGTTCTCCACAGAGGTTCTCTGAAAACACACTGGTTGCCTGCAATAGAGCTTCCTCACTGATTTCCCTGAGTCAGCCCTCCCTGATTCCACATCACTCTGCTCACAAGTGACATCTTTATGTGCCTCCAGCAATTCTGGCTGATGAAGTTAACTTGATACTTGCAGTATAAACCATGAACACATTTTCTCATGAAGGGCTCTCAGCACTGTTTCTCCCCCTTTCCAACCTATTTTCCCAATGCTCACCAGAAAGAACTCTTTGCTCTAGATTGTATCTATTTACCACTTCCCAGTCTCTTCCTGCTCATGACACACAGCCTTCCTCAAGTATCCTTCTGTCCCCTATGGCAGTCATACCCAATGCTCTACTTTCAATTTGCAGTGGCATGTCACTCTTTCCCCCAAAGATGGTCCAAGTGACTGCATGATCTCTTCCTTCTCTGGCACATCAGTACCCAATGTCCAGTCATAAAAGATTAACTTTGCCTCACCATGCACAACTGTACTATGAGTTTAGTTTGCTGTACTTAGGACCTCACTTCTTTGTGGCCTATCAAGTACCTGACACAACGTCAGTTTAAAAAAAGAATGAAACAAATAAAAACAGCCACAGGTCCCTCTGAATAAATTCTTGATTTTATACATGGCAAACCCATACAAAACACAGGCTTTAGTTTTTCATATTTGAATTAAGGGGATGTGGATTTGGGGTCCGTGGCGAACCTTCAGAGAATCATGAGCAGGTCTGTACCCAATGAATTCCCTCTCTTGGGAGAGAATCCTCTATTCTTGTCATATTTTAAAGATTCAGTGACCCTAAATCTGATTCTGTTCTAAAGTATCTAGTCTTAATGATAGTATATATGATTAATTTCATAAGAACAATAAAGCTAAAGTGAGTCACAAGCCCGTGAATTTCTCATAAAGATAATGTAAACTTATATAGTAAATACAGTCCTACTTAGGACAGAAACAAAGTGGGCTGACCAAAAACTAGTTCACAAAGTTACAATATAATCATAATACAGCAATCAGACTACTAAATGTTTGCTGTTCAACCAATCCATTAGATCAAGGCAGTGTGTGTATGTGTGTGTGTGTATACACACACATTACAATCACAAAAACAAAAGTGTGCTTTAAAAAATTATCAAAAGAAAAAAGGAAAGCAGTTCTACAGGTGGCTGGTAGTCTCTAAATTAAAATATGTAGAAATTAATATAGATGTTTTTGAATACTGTCTTCCTGTGGACCATTCTGAATATGAACTCGGTGAATTTATTTATGTCATTTCATTCCAAAATAGGCATGGAAATAAAGAGCCCTGTTTGCGATCTCTGGCCAACACACAGCAAGCAGCCTCATGTCCCATAATGGATGTACTGCTCTCTGGCAGCCTCCAGGAACATGTGTTTTGTTAATATTTAGATATTCTGTGTCCAAGGGTTCTCAGTGTTAAAATTTTACTGTATTTAAGAATGTTTCCCAAAAGCTTTTAAGAGATTCTTTTTAGCTTATAAACCAGAACTTCATTTCCTGGATTATCAACTCTACTCAAACAAATGATTAAAATGACAACCTTCTCAATTTAAGGATGTTTTGAAATAGAACACAGTGCTAGCTAACATGCTCACTTAATTTTTACCTTTAAGAATGATTAAATCACTGACAAGAATATACTAAATTTTACAAGTATAAAAATTATGGTTTTCAGGGGCTGGGGATTTAGCTCAGCGGCAAAGTGCCTGCCTGGCAAGCGCAAGGTCGTGAGTTCGGTTCCCGGTACCGGAGAAAAACCAAAAAAAAAAAAAAAAAAATTATGGTTTTCAAAAAGTTGAGAGAAAAAAAGTTGAGTTTTAACAGATGTCACAGTGTCAGGGGTAAAGCAACAGCACCTTCTGAGATCACAAAAAGCAGAGAAAAAAGGCCAATATATTCATGTATGAAAAGGAACTTTAATTTAGGGACCAAGCAGTTAGTCAGTTCAAATATACGAAAAGGGATTTTTTTTTTTTAAAGGGAAAGTTTTAATTGGACAGTATTAACATTTAGGGAAAGCTGATAAAGGTTAAAGTATTTCTCCTGAACTTACCAGGTGTACTTGTTGAAGAGGCCTTTGAAGTTACAGGCTCAGAATCTTCCTAAGTGTACAAAAACGCATGAATTAGCATCCCCCACAGGCATGAAACGCTGAGTGTGAGTGGTACACTCCCTGCCCACACCTCCCATCTTCCTCAGCTTGAAACTCCTCCTCCTTCTCTTCCTCCTGGCATTCCCCTCTGCTCCCTAGAGCACCCAACCTGATGCCTTCTCATTGTGAACTTGTGCTACCTACTGCTGTCACAGGAAACAGAAATGACCCAGTGGTGTGGGGAAAACAGTTACACACAGAATAGAGAGAGTTTACCCACTGGACTGGGGAGGATGGCAGGAAGGTTTCACACTAAGGGACACACAAACCTTCCTAGGAGAGGACACTCAGTCATTTTAAGGGGTATACGAATAGAATTAACTCCATGGGCTCAAACCTTAGTGCTTTTCCCAAGACTCCACATCATCAACTCGTTTTACGAAGAAAGCCACTACAATTTTATAACTGTAAGACCTAACTGGAAAATAACCACTGGTCCTCACTGCAGTAATGGCCACCAGGGTCATGCAGAAGATTATACCTCTTTAGTCTATCACATGGTGGCCACTCTGTAATAGCAGGTAAGGCAAAGTGATTTCTAGTTTTCAAGGCTGACTAGTTTTCAGTTAAGTCTTATTTTTGGGGAAACAGGGTAACACAGCAAGGCATTTTAAGTATCTGAATAACTGAAAATATGCAACTGTAACTTTGAATTAATTAAAGTCAAGTTAAATAATCACTGGTAGGGTTTTCTGAATGGACTGTGCTAGTATCCCACATTTTAAGGTGGGTGCTGGCTTTACTCACGTACAGTTTTGTCCTCTTTTTGTTCTGCTTCTATTGTTGATCCCTTTTCAGCAATTCTTCTCCTAGAAAGAAGGCAAATTGGGCTCTCTAAAATATCATATAACTCTTAGGATAAAAATACCTTAAGAGGGAAAAACTGCATCTAGTTAAATTATATGCAGAACAAAATCAACAAAATCTTCCAGATTGTGGACATGTCCCCTACAGTGAGATTTCTCACCTTCTGGCCAGGAGGGCACTCATTTCTTCCATTAAGCCGCTGCCCCCTAGAGGAAGGGGCCCATTCCCGCGCCCAGAGTCGGCTTTGGAGGAAGCTGCGTTCACACCAGTGGTACTCCCTCCACTAGGGAAAGAGGCATCCTCCATCTTAACAAGAAGATACACATGATGATTTCCTATGTTAGTCATATCAATGTTAATTTTTTAAAAATTCGCAAATATTTTAAGCCTTAAGAATCAATAGCGTTGACTTTGTATAGCCACAGTTTTATCAAAGCTAACACGATCAGTAATGGGGTAAAACTGTCTCCCTGCATGATACACTAAGCAGCAGTCAAGTGTGGTAGTCTTTCTGCTTGCAAAATGCTTGAGTCAAATGTTGAGGAAAAAAATGCAGATATGCCAAACTCAAAATCTAAACAAAACTAACAGACTTAAAAAATGTCAGTATCTTGAAAGATTCAAGAAATGTCACCATCTTACTAAAGCGACATCACACCTAAATGCAACAGAAGACCTTGAAAGAAAACTGCCATAAAAGACATTGGAAAGCAGATCTGAATACATTTCAAAATAAATTTGAAAATATTGTTAAATTTCCTGATTTTGGTAACTGTCCTGTGGTCATGTATGTGACTGACCTTGTTCTTACAAAATACTGTACATACCGAGGTTATTTAGGGAGACTGGCATGATGTTTCCACCTTATTCTCAAATCACTGACAAAACTGTGTATATATAAAGAAGACATACACAGAGAAAATAAAGAGGCAAGTATTGGTAAAATTTAACTGGGAATGTAGATGATGGATTCACAGAAATTTTGTATATGATTTTTGCAACCTTCTGGTAAATTTTAATTATTTTAAATTTTTAATCAATAAAAGTAATACTACAGGCTCATAAAATTAGAACCAATAAATCCAGCATTTTAGATATTTAGAAAGAATAAGACATACATTTAAAAGGCAGTAGTGTGGGAATGTATTTACCCGTGACACCTTCCTAAGTTTTGCTCCAGCAATTGCAGCTGCAAGTCCAGTTAAGGGGCGATTGTCTTCTGATATAGGTCCAGAGAAAAATCCAGCCACAGGGAGGGGTGGGGCAGGAGGTGGTGGAGGAGGAGGGGGGACCTGATTGGGCAGAGGAGGGGGAGGAGGAGGAGGGGGAGGCCCAGACGATGGTAGTGGGGGTGGTGGTGGGGGTCCTGGGGGAGGAGGGGGAGCTGGGGCTTGGGCAGGTCCTGGTGGGAGAGGAGGAGGGGGTGGAGGTGCAGGTGGTCCCAAGACAATGCCTGAGAGGAGGAAATGTTAGACCATCAATTCGAGACCTGAGCAACTGTACTTTATGAGGACAGGTATGCAGAATGCAGCAGGAAGTTAGGGTGACTCAAACACTTATGACATAGGAATTTATTACAATGTTTACAGTCTAGATCAGTTTTTAAAGATATTAACATATAAAGTCAATGTGTCTATGTAAGTATTATGTCAGACCTTTAGTAATGAACTATGCAACATATTGCCTAATTAGATTTTTTACACGGGGATTTGAAAAATAAGCAAAATAAATCCTTATAAAACTTGGGAGAACGGTAGCCATCCCTTAAAAAAAAGAACAAGTATATGTAGCAGTAAGGACTATTTGAAACGCCATACTCCAAATAACCCATGTGAGTACTGAGACAGTATATCCTGATATCCTACTATAATGAAGACAGATGTTTCCTGTTTACATGGTCAATGTGACTGGACTCAGAATGTGAAGGAAGAATGGGTCCCAGGCCAGTATCTTAAAAATATTGTACACTGAAATTCCAGATGTAGCCAATGTTAAGAATCACGGAAGTAAGGGAATCTACTAATGCAAGTAAAATCTTAACATGACTTTCAGAAGTAAGTAACAGAATTTGAGTACAAGTTTTAGCCTTCAAGTTGGTGCATAAGAAATGTTTAAATCTCATAAAATCACTGAGAGATTGAACATGAATTTACTCAATATCAGAATACCAAACGAGTAAGCAACTCTCCTCTTAAAGACTTGAAGAGTCTCTGGGACAAAGCATGCACAGGTATGACTGTAACTCCTCCAGTTTCACGAAGCCACAGGCAGTGGAGCAGCTGTCCCCTCTTGAGGGGCACAAAGTACCACACCTCTGTCATCCAGTATTACTGTTTTAGTTCTAATCCTGGGCCCTAAATTGCACATTCTGGAATTTGACTCCATTTTAATGAAAGTTTTGTAAGTTAACAACAACAAAAACATTCACAGTAATAACAAGACATTACAGTAGTTTAAATAATATGATTTTTCAAAGAGGTATGTTTAAATTGAGATTAATACTGCTAACTACAATTTTTTTCCAGTACCCTCTTGTAATCCTCACTAAATTCTAAATGAAAACAAAACAGAAACCCCAAATAGGGTCACAGGCACATTTTCATGTTCCGAAACAGGCCCTCTCTACTTACACATTATCAGGTGTGGAGGCCATAGCACACGTGGGCACACTGTGAGCCCACTGGCCTCTGCACCCTCCTGCATAGCCAGGGTACTCCAGGGCTCAGGGTGTACCCCCTGAAAGCTTGATACTGAGGTCCCCAGATCAGAACTACACTAGGGGAGACTCAGCACAGCATGTCTCAGGAACATAGCTAGCCCTAAGTGTATCTCTGAGTCTCCCAGGAAGTAAAGGAAAAGAGTTCAGACTGTAGAGTGAGAAGATCAAAAATAAAGATTTCCTAGTAAAATTTCAAAGAACTGGGTGACAAACATGATCATGCCATCTTTCCTGCATGAATAAGAACATGGTCATCTTTTCTAGAATCATAAAACAAATTAAGTTATTGAACCATGGCACCACTGTATTACTACTTCTAGTATTACTAGAAAACACCACTTATGATAGTATAGAAGATACTACACAGTACAAAATGGAAATTCCCCTTATTGACCCTCCAAAATGCAAATGATACAACAGAATAAACAATATTCATTTCCACCTTAATTCTTCAAATGGAAAACCCCACATGGTACACTCTGACATCTCAACATCCCACTATTAAGCCCTCCTTTCTCCTTCCAGGTGGCAGCTGTGGCCACCAGCTCTTCTGGAGGTAAACTGCCAGCAGCAGTAACAAAAGCCTTACCCTGCAGGGCTGGAGTCTCGGCCGGCTGAGAGGCTGCCTGCAAGCCTGGCTCAGAAGCAGAGGAGTCTCCCAGCACAGAGTTTAGAGGAGTCTCCGCAGAGGCAGGGGCAGCTGCAGAGGGAGAAGGGAGAACACTGGGCTTGGATGAGGGGGTTGAGGCAAGGGGGGTGCTGGGAGGGGCAGCTGAAGTTCCACCATGGGACAGTGGTGCTGGGGGCGGCGGCCCTGAGGTAGGTGGTGGAGACACCGGGCACGGCACAGAGTCCAGCAGCCCAGTGGGTGCTGTCGGTGATGGGAGCATCTGGGGCACAGGAGAAGAGACACAGACAGGAAGGACGGGCCTCGGACCAGTAGCTTTGCCGGGGGGGCTGCTAATCATGATCGGAGGAGATGGAGGGAGAGGAGAGAAACTAGAAGGGGACCAAGCACAGGGCTTTGCTGCTGGAGGCTGAGAAGAGGGTGTGTTCACAGGAGAAGAAGGCTGAGAGTTTTTGTTCAGAGGACGAGGAACTGTAGCATAATGAGGGAGAACAGGGTGGAAGGCTGAGCCTAGAGATGTCGCAAAACGTGTCGCTGAGTGTCGCAGTGGTGGTGTAGGGGGTGTGGAAGCAGGTGGCAAAGCGGCCACAACAGCGTGGTCAGGAGTGGCATCTGACACTGGAGCTGAGATGACTTTGGCGTGTGGTGGAGGAGGTGCTGGAGAAGGCTGGCAACTGGGGTAGTCAGGAGGTGGAGCACTATACAAGGGGCTGTCTGGAGACGGAGCTGGACAGAGGTGGGAGCAGCAGCAGAGACAGGATACAAAAGGAGAGAGAAAAAGGAGCAAGTGAAGCCACAACACCAGCAATCAGACAACTATATAAATGCAGACTACAGTTAGTACAGACTCAGGCACACGTGCACGTAACTGTTTTCTCCTGAGAACTTTCACTTGTAAACACACAGTTTGAGATCCAGAGAATGAAATTTTCTTTTACAAGTAAGTACATTAATAAATTAAATAGATTAAATTGTCCTTTTTAAGAAAGGAATAGTAGCTGTCTTAATTTTCATTATTTAACCCATTAAAATATTAAAATCATATTATAAATAAATTTAGTTTTTAAAAACAAAAAAACTATCAAAGTGTTTACTGCAAAGGGTGAAGAACTTCCTATTTAAATGGTTACTTATAGAAAAGTTGTATAGTTAGCTGTAATTCCAGAAAATAATTAGGCAGTCAAAACTAATAGATTAACTTAAACAATCATTATCTAATCAACCTACATTGAGACTTTTGATACAAGCCATGTGGAATAAAAATTCTTAGATCCTATAACAGATATTAATTTTAATGAATGTGTCAAATTTTAGGCATATCTATGTCTTTCAATCAATTCCATCAGATTTAGTAACTTTTTACAATACTACAAAATATATTTAGATATCCAGTCAGTTTTAGAATACTTTTCATCTATTGCTTTAATTTTTTCTTCAAAAACTTTAGATTATAATCAAGCTAATTTCTTGCTTTCTGGTAATTACTACTTCATACAGTATTTGAGACAATGTGAGCAATTTTATGAGAGGAATATCTTCCCAGTTCATCTAACATAAAAAATTTCCATAAAAATACACTCAATACTCTATAGCCAGTTTATATGGAGGTTAGAAGAATTTGAATGCCAGATAAAACAGCCAAGAGTCCTTTAATTTTCTAAGCAATAAGAGCAAAACAGAAATGAAAAGTAAATGTTCAAGTAGTCACGGCTCATGCTTAGCCCAGGCACCTGACTCTTAAAACACCCTAGTGCACTGCAGGCACACAGCAGTGTGGGGTCCTTACCAGCACCCGAGACTCTGCGCTCCCGCTCCCATTCGAACTGCTCCCGCTCCAGCCTCTCCAAGCGCTCCAGGCGCTCACGCTCCAGCCGCTCCTGCTCCAGGCGCTCCAGCCGCTCCCGCTCTTGTCTCTCTCTCTCCAGCTGCTCCTGTTCCAAGCGCTCCCTTTCCAGCCTCTCTCTCTCCAGCCTTTCCCTTTCCATTCTCTCTCTCTCCAACCTTTCCCTCTCCAGCTCCTTTTGTCGTTGCTGTTCTTGCAGTTGCCTAAAATTATAAAAAATTTAAAATATGTATCAATGGCCCATCATCCCTACAATAGAACTGCTCTTCTCTTTATTTCTTCTTCTTTTTTTTTTTTTTTTTTTTTTGGTTATCAGACTTATTAACTTTATTTCTGAATCAAATAAAAGGAACACAAGGCATGAGATTAACATTGTTCCTCTATGTAAAGAAAGGCTGGCTACCTTGGAGATAACTTGGGTTTCAGACAAGTGAACATAGTCTCTTAGCATGGGATTGGCTGGATGCTTCAGCATGGCACAGTTATGTCCCACTTCATTTTCTAAGTCTTGTGAATAAAGTACTGTAGGTAAACGAATTTCTCATGTAACCAAACATACCACCCCAATAATCAGCATTTTACTTGCTTAGTAAAAACATCTCTAAGTTTGCAACTTTCTTCCTAAAATGTAACATTAAATTTTTACTGTACAAGAAATAAATTATCATTTCAGAAAAAACAAGGACCACCCACCACAATAGCTAAACATTTGCTGGATTAAATACACACAATTACATATGAAGGGAAGAAATAAACTTTAAGTCATTCAAATTTCATATCGAGGCAACTATCACTAACACTGTGGTATATACAAGTTATGTTCTAAACTTTTCCTCACCTAATAATATACACATAAACTTTAAAGACCAAAAAACTGAAAGCCCATTTCCCTACTACTCTGTTCTCTAGTGCACTGTGGGGTCACCCGAAGGCAGGGTGTGCAGCATTTTCTGTGAGAGCACACATCCCCTTGTTTAGCTCTCCAGAGTTCAAGCAGGCTCCTACTGTAGGATGTAGATCACCCCAATGTGACTACTGATACTGCAATAAGCACCTCATCTTTGAATCTTCTTCCACTGCTTCTATAGGATCAATATTGACACACATAACTGCTGGGCAGAAAGACATGTATCTCTTAAGATTTTCAATGTGAGGTGGGATTAAAAAAAAAATTATTACAGTGACACAGTTATTCCCCCCCTCCACTTTGAGTACACCTATCGTATCACTCTTGTCACACCCTGCAGCAGTTCTGGAAGTCCTTTTCCATTCAGTATCTTCAGTTGCACTATCCTATTTGTCTTGATGTCATTTTGACTTAGGGAAGAGCCAGAAGTCACACCAGTGCCAGTGAGTAAGGTGGACGATACACTGTGATGCTTTTAGAAGCCTGCCTTTCCCAAGGGAAAGATGAAGTGGCATTCACCATACTTTTGATCATATCTACAGGATTTTCAGAGCTGCTTCAGCAAGTGGCTAGAGTGATGGTTAAGTGTGCTCAAAGTAAGGGGGAGGAAGGACTTTGAGGGGGATTAACAGCAATGTGTCTTTTTTACTGTAATAAACTTCTAAAAATTAAAATATTCACATATTTTTAGATCATCCCTGTATATGCTTCCAAATTACCTTTAAGAAAAGTTGTGTCAATCTTCCCTAAAAAAAGAAAGTTAGGCTCTGCACATACATTTCATAGCATTGTAGCAAAAAAGAAATGAAGTAATAAAGCCTCTTTACCTGAGCATAATATTCAATAAACATGAGCTGTAATGGTAGTTACTGAAAACCTCACACTGGAACTTTCTCTGGACTAATGAACCAGGTGGGCTCTGATAAGAGGTGACATTACATGAAAGACCAAAGCAGGCTGCCCTTTGTTCCTCCCAGAAGCATCAGTAACCAACATCTTTCCAAATCTTCCTTCTAACAAGTAAATCCATCTAGTTCTCACACAAAAGCACACAGCCTCTCTGAATATCTCATGTAACAATGACTCCAAGAAGGCAAAAGCATCCTGCAAGAGTGGCTCCTTATAAGTGGCTAATAATAATAAAGTACATTTTAAGGACACAGTACTGACTTATGCTATTGGGTAAATCTCTAGCTGCCCAGGTTTTTGACAGATAACTATATCATTGTGGTAATGATGGCATAAATTTAAACCCAAAAGTAGAAGAGTATTTTAATGGAAAAAAAAAAAACTGGACAGAGAAAAGTCACTTAAAAAATTACATCTACTGAATAAATTCAACTGGGGTTTATAGTACAGATGCAAAAATTTTAGGTCTTCTTAGATTTCTGTGCCATTTTCATTTGTATCAAAATAACACACAGGGTTTTCTTTAAAGCTCATGCCAAACAACAGTTCAGTTGTCAGTGTTCCTATTGTCTTCCTGCTCTCTCCCAGCTGTTCTCACATTTTTGCATTGTCTCTACTCTCCAATGACAGCTTGCTCACAGGACGCTGAGAGTTACATGACCCACAGAAGAACTACATTCCGTTCACAGCTGAGCCACATGGTATTCTGACTATATATTGTGTCGAATTCTTAGTTTTTGTTACTCCTTAGTCCACTCTGTTTCCAAAACAATCAGTGATTTTAGCACAGGCAAAGCAAACAATGACAGGGCAGGCAGGGGGCCAGGCAGGTGAGGGGTGTGTGTGTGTGGGGGGGGGTGACTTAGGGAACTGTTCCACAACTGCATCATAGGCTCACAGGCCATGGAAGACAGAGCATCTACAAGGAGAGTACCAACCAGAATGCATCTCCAAGTTCACTGAGAGAAGGGTAAAACAGGCAGTTCATATGTCTACAGATTTTTGTTTGAAGAAAGAACTGAACATCTTTAGCCAATTTTTAGTTTGCTCACTGAAAAGATGCCCATCTACACACAATTCTCAAGGAAGTGTGCCAAACAGAAAATTCTGACTTGCATATCTTTGTAAGCAATAATAAATTGCTACCATCTTTGGTAGCAATAATAATTCCCAGCAAAATTGTACTGTTTATGAATCAGACAATGCTGTAGCCTTTAACGCTAGAGGATAAGCTTGGTTTTCTCACAATTATCATGCCAGTTCTCACACAGGAAAAGCAGGTGCCCCCAGCCGCATTCTAGAGATCTGTCTACACTGGCTGTTTTCTTCAGTCATAAATAGGATGAGCTCCAGATTTTGTCAAAATACAGGTTTCCTAATTTTAAACTATGAAAAAAATGCTGATAGGTTAATTTCTTTTAGGATAGAATATACAGTTTGCAGTAATCTGAAAATTTCTGGGAAAAAAATGTGTATTTCCAGAAACAACTGTAGTGCCAATGACCAGTATTATAGCCATTAAAGAATTAGTTCTTTCCCACCAGTAAAATAGTTCTCTCTAAAAGAGCTACTCCTAAATGTAAGCAGGCACAAAAAATATCAGCTTACAATGAGATTAGCAGTATATATATTAATAGCATACAGAGTCAAACAATACTTAATTTATGACTGACTCAAAGACTTATTTTTTTGAAACATGTACAAAATAAAATTTCAAGATGGCATTTCATCCAGTGTTGCCCACAATGAACAGTTATTAGGTAAATACAGAAGAAATTCAATTTTAACAATGAAATAGGGCAGCAGACTAGGAAAAATATACTGAGTTGATAACATTCAGTAACATTAACGCTATTGACATTTGTCAGAAAATAAAACCATATAGTACCTACAGTACATGTTTTAATTGTATAATGGGGTATTTCACTTCTCTATGAGTGAACAAATTAAAAAACAGGTAAGTTTAAGACAGTAGAGTTTTAACATGACAAACAAGACAAAAGGCAGTACTTACAACAGAAGTCGGTCAACTTTGGGTCCATCCTGCCTCTGAAGGCTAATGGGGGTGCCATGGACTCGCATTGCTCTAACCCTCACAGTCCTGTGCTGGGGTCATTAGTCCCTCTTATAACTTCCAGATAGTAGCAGTGATTCGTGAAGTATTTATAGGTATTATCTAAATTACGTTCTACGTTGAGACTAACATAGGACTGGCTCATGTTTCTTAGAATATGTCTTTCCATCACAACCAAGGAAGCCAAATCATTAAAAAGAACTGAAACTAATATAACAAATGACATACATATGTACAGAAAACTGTACTATTGTGTTATTATAGTAAAGGTACTAGATCAATAAAGTGTAACATACAAAGTAAATGTTTTATTAACTCACCTTCACTGATTAAAAGTTAAACTTATAAATGTAATACCTAGTTTAAAAAGATATTATAAGACTCAAAATAAAACAGCATTCTGCATGATGGCGCACACCTATAATTCTGGCACTTTGGGAGAATGAAGTGGGAAGACGGCATATTCAAGCCAAGTCTGTCTCAAAATAAAAAATAAAAAAGGGCTGGGGACTCAGGTCAGTGCTAAGGCCTTAGGTTCAGTCCTCAGTGCTTATCTATCCTTACCACTTTTGACTTCTCTCCCTAAAAGGAACTACTTTCAATACTCTGGTATTTATCTCATGTTATCAAACACAGCAATTTGTTTAGAACAATTACTTCTTGACTTTTCAGATTTAGATGCTACCTACTGACTTCCTATTATACAGATGATTTAATTCCTGCAACTCTGACCATGCCCCCTTTCTTCTTCATTCTCCCAGTAATACTGCAACGCCACTTTGAACACACCAACACTCAGGTGCCCTGTTATTCACTACTTATCACATTTATTTTCCAGAACAATTTCTTAGTCTAATCCTTTCCTATGTCCCTATCCTCACTCATCCCCAATGTGTCCTCAGAACTCTGAGCCCTCTCTCCAGGCCTGGGGTGGCTCCAGTCTCCTCAGTTGTACGTGGAGTCACTTTCTCATTTCTTGGCCCTCACAGGTTATCACCTTGGTTTGCTCTTTCATTTTAACACACACCTTCCAGGGGCTTCATAGGAAGTTGTGCAGATAGGATGAGATTAGGGAGGGCTTCCCTCAGGATTCTGCAGCTCTCTCATCTCCCTCTGCCCAAGCTTCTGACAGCTCTCCCTCCCAGAACATGTGCTAGGCTGGGGTCATAGCTCAGCATCAGAGGATCTGTCTAGCATGCTCGAGGCCCTGGTTCCATCCCTATCACCACCAAAAAAACCCAAAACCAAAACACAAAACAAACAATCCCACTGCTTTCATCTAGTGACTAAAACTCCACAGCCCTCTTTCTTGG